GCCCATTAAACAGTTTTTCATGCCCCCCATCCTCAGTATCTAGCTATGACTTTCTTGAGCCCCCTTTGTGGAAAAACAAGGTAGCTTTCAGCTTGGGGCAGCAAGCCATGTGCCAACTAGGAATGTTTCTGATAAAAATTATCCCTTCTGTTTGGAGAAATCACCTGTAGGAAGTGTCATCCCGGCTCTGGCAGCATTCCTGCCTGCCCAAACTCAGCTATGCTTTCTTAAAAATAATATTCTTTCCTACATTTTTATGGAGAGGACACTTTTGTTGGTAGAATTTATAGTTTGCCTGAAGTATAAGTTAATTTCCTGTTTTCCAAACCCGTACAGAAGAAAGCTGTTGCCTCCTATCGGTAAGTTTGAATATGTTAGAGAATGATTCATTTCAGAGTCTACTGATAAATATCTTATAAATCGGTAACAAAAAATAAAGATATAGAAGAATACATGCCATAAGGTTAATAGTATTTGTAACTTTTTGATGAGGCTAGAGATTACATTTAATGGTATAATTTGATTAGCATAGTGAATATTCTCCATCATTTACTTGTTATATAAATACTTATAAGTTGTGCAAAGTAAATTCTCCTTTGTAAGAGTAAACTACATATTTTAAGAAATATATTTTTATTTTGTATTTATTTGTGTATGTGAAAAATGTGCATGTGTGTGAACACATATGTACAACAGAGCCTGTATTGAGGTCAGAGGACCACTTGTGGGAGTCAGTTCTCCCCTTCCACCATGTGGGTCCTGGTAATCAGATAGTCAGGCCTGATGTCAAGCATCCCTACTCACTGAGCCATTTCTCTGGTCCTCAGGAAACATTTCCTGCAGGGTATCGATACAATCTCCACATTAGTGGTTAGATATATATTTAAGAATTGATAATTGTATGCCAACTGTCATGACATTAATGTTTGGTTGTTTTGGGTTCTTACACTGAAAGATAGAGAGCAGAGAATACTGAGAAATGTCGGTTGTGATCATGCCCCTGGTTTGGACAGAAAATAGCTTTATTTGACACAATTGTAGAAGATAATGAAAGTGTTTTCTCCAGTGAGAAAGTAGGAAGGTAAAGTTCTTTAGCAGAAACAGGCTGGAACTTGATCTGTGGGTCCATGTAGTTATCCATTTTATATTATTTTAGGTTGTCTCAGTCAGTTAGGATCACTAAAATAAACACATAAAGCATAGACTTTGTTTACATAGCTGACATTGCTCTCACAATTCTTTAATCTTTAGAGGACAAGATCCAGTTATTGGCAGACTGAATGTTTGGCAGAGCCCACTTTCTATTTATAGACTTTTTCAGCTGTGTCCTTCTATGGTGCAATGGAAGGACTCCAGCCTCTTGGTTCCCTTATGAGGGCTCCTGTCTCAGAGCCTAATCATTTTCAAGGCCTCCCTTCCTAGGCTATCACAATGTTAAGGATTAGGTTCCAGCACAGGCATTTGGAAGCCACAAAATTTCAGACCACTGCATCGAGTAGACAGCACTTGCAAGTATTTCAAAGAGGATTCTAACCAGAGTGCTTAGTGAGTGTGTGAATCAATATCATCCTAAATTATGAGAAAAACCTGAGATTCATCACAGAGGGCATTCTTTTCTACATTAACAGCAAAGAGTTGGCTTACTGACCTGAGGATTGATGGAAATAATAAAACTAATGAATGGTATAGTTGTTTAAAAAGATGTAAACTTTCATGAGCAGGGTCCATAGTAAGAAACCTTATAGTTAATGATAGTTATACCACCTTCTTTAGCTATTGTCCCATGTGCCTCACTTTACAGAGAATGCTGCCTCTGCTCTCATATCCACACGAAAGAATGAACACAGCCACCTTCTATGATCTTTAGCTATTGTCCCATGTGCCTCACTCTACAGAGAATGCTGCCTCTGCTCTCATATCCACACGAAAGAATGAACACAGAACCTTCATATGCCCATCTCTGACCAGTCTTTGCTTCATGGAGGCCTCTGACCATATATGAACAGGTTGTGAAGCCCTTCCTTCCTCCCCTAAGCAATGCATGCTCACATAGGAAAATTCAGTCTGAAGATACAGAGGCTAATGGGACTGCACAGTGCTTCTTTCTTAGCTTTCCTGATTCCTTCTTTCTAGTGTTCTCTAACAAATTTGTAACTTATTTTTGTTTGCAGTAATCCACCTTGCCTCCTCTCTCCAAGCATAGGCTATACAAGGGAGCTATAACCATTTCTTTGTGTATCTAATAATTTCCCCCTCCAAACTTCAAAACACAGAAGAGGTTTTTAATGAATCAGTTCTGTCTGGATTATTGAAATTCACCATAACAGGTAAGCAGGTAGCACTGGGAAGTCACACTACAGATCAAATAGCCCAGGTAATATATGCAACAGTAGTACACTTGTCTTCCTACAAAATTACTGAGGAAGTGATTGAAATTGCTCTGTCATAGCATCAAGACACTAATTCTTCATGAATTTTCAAACATGTGAGAAGCCTTTTGCCTGGAGACTTCATCTAACAGGTGATAAGTGGTAACTGAATGTCACACTGGATGGAGACTGATTTTACTGTGCTTTTGTGGTTTTGTTTTATTTTTCTCTCACTGCCAACTTTTCCTGGTATACAAACAAATATAATTTGAAGCTAACATCCCTTACCTGTGGTTCCTTATTCCTATTACTGATCATTCAAGTTGGGGAGGCAGAGTATTTCCCACATCCTTCTATTAGTCATTTTTCTGTTGTGACAAAATATCTGACCAAGGCAATTTAAGGAAGAGTTAATTAGTTCACAATCTGAGGGGATGTTAATTATGACAAGGCAAGCATATCGTCTGAAGCATGAGATCCAGACTACATTGAGTGCCAGTGGGAAAGCAGAGAACAAGGTATCCTGCTTCTCAGCTTGCTTTCCCCTCTTCATTCAGTTCAAGAGCCCAGCACATAGAATGATGTTTTCCACAGTTAAGGTGAGACTTTCCACTGCAACTAACCTAGCTGACATAGTCTCTCACAGTCATTCACAGAGGTTTGTTGCCTAGGCAATTCTAGATCCTGCCAAGCTGACAATGAATATAAACATCCAAAGACCACCCATTGTCAAATTGATGCACACACATCATTTTGCTTGTTTATCTTCCAGTTTGTTCCCATACACCCATGGCCATCTTATAGTGCAAAAATGCATTCAGATCACCCTCAAAAGTTTTTAACAGTTTCAACGTTCCTTAAAAGTCCAAGTTTTAACTGATATTCTATTGTAATCACTTAACTTTGAGATCCTACCACATAAAACAAATTACATAGTTCCATGATACAGTAGCATAGAATAAATATTTTTATTCCAAAATGGAAGAATGGAAATGTAACAAGAATGTAATAATGTGATCATATCAAAACCACAGGGAAAACCATAAATCATGGAGTTCTGCATAAGGTATTTGTGATGATATCCTCTGGGTTCCAAAGAACTCATGTACTCCTGCCCCACCAGCTCTGAGGATGTAGCACACCTAGGCTTTCCCTTGGACTGTACTCATTCCATGACTGTACCCTTCTTCAATGGATGCCCTACTTCCCAGGAATTTCCAACATCTCTACTGCAACCTAAGTACCATCTTAACAGTCTCATGCAGTGGCTTCTGGGGGACTCTCTTTTCAAAGACTGATCCTGTCACACATTGCCTGCCCTCAACAATTCTCTAAAACTGTGCAGCAATGCTGTATGACCTTTTAATCTGTCATGCCTGCAAAACTAGTGTCATATGGCTGCTGCTGCCAAGATCTGTAGCTAATGTGAGATGTAGCCAGGATGCATTGGACCACAATGAGAGTAACTTCTCTATGCTTTGGTGGATAGGATAGACCAGAAAACCAATTTCCAGGGTAGTTTTTGTTTTTTGGTTTTTGGGTTTTTTTTGGTTGTTGTTTTTGTTTTTTAAAGCAAGAAACCCTTTCTGAGATATTCTCAGCACAGGCTTCCATCTCTCAGATGAATTTATTTTCATAAGTTGATGTCTTTCAAAGGATGGATTATGCTTTTTGGGCTGTCTTCTTGTCCTAATGAAGAGACTAGGGTGTATCTTTAACAAGTACAGGTAGGTCCACTTTGCTGTTCTTGCCTGAAAATTACAAAACTTTCCTTAGACATGGCTTCGGGTGCAAACAGACCAGACAGAAGGGAAAGGTGGAAGTGTGAAGCCAGGCTCCTCACTCTCTCCTGCTCTCTCTCTCTTTTACTCTCTCTCTCTCTCTCTCTCTCTCTCTCTCTCTCTCTCATATCATGGATCAGCTGAGAAGGGCAGAGAAATGCTTTGTTTCTTTATATTATCTGTGTAAGTTGTTCCCCAATGAAACACCCATTTATCCTTTACCTTGGGTCTAGTAAATTCATTATCACTCACCTTTACTCAATTGTGGCCAGAATGGAGCAAGAATGACCTGCAGTTCCCAACGGTCATGTTTCTCTCACCATTCTGGTCTCCCAAGCCAAATGTGCACTAAATTCTGCTTACAGCATTCCAGGGCTCTCCTATCCCAAGGTTCTAGACTTATCCATATCTCTCCTGCAAACTAATTCACTAGGCTTAAAGTCAGCATACTTACAGTCACCCTAGAAAATAGAAGCCACTCTCCATTTCAAACAATATCTTATATTCCAGGGTCCTGTCACCTAACAAAAGTGATGGGGGAGGTCCTTCTGTGTATATGTTTGTCTTATTGGTTGATAAATAAAGTACTGTTAGCCAATAGGGAAGCAAGTTAGGCGGGACTAGGAGTCGAGGAGGATTCTGGGAAATGTGGAAAAGAGAAGTCTTGTGATCCAGGCCAGAAGTGACATAGCAGGCAGACTCAGAATATAAGCAGGGATGAGCAAGAAATCACTCTCTTCCTCCTCCTCTCTTCTCTTTGAAGCCACCATGTGATCCTGGGAAGAGGATGCATGCTGCCAGCATCCTCCATAAGATAAGTCTTTATAAATATATAGATTAATGGATTGCAATGGTTGATACTTAAGGCAGAGCAAGCATATAAGAAATCCTAGTCATTGGCCAGCAGCATTGTACCTAATATAAGACTGTGTGTTATTTTAGGTACCTACGTGGCAGTGTGGCTCGGGCAGTTGGCAGAAAGACTTATTGTTACACAAAGATGGCACAAAAGCTTCACAATTTTAATCTGTGCAGCTTTTATTATCAATCAGCCTAACATTTTTCTCATACTTTGTCCCATGAAAATCTACTTGTTGCTTTTTATAAGAGCAATTCACAATGAATTATCTGTGTGACTGGGATAAAATCGCCAATGTTTCTCCATTGGGCCATTTTTCTTCTTGACTTACATCCTTTCTAGAAATAATTTCACTGTATTCAGACTGTTTTCCTGTAGGGAGAGACCCTGGATACCTGTACCCCTGATACAAGAAGACACTGAATGCATAGATACCTAAAAAAGAGAGGATAGCTACCCAAAGAGAACCACCAAACAAAGGAGAATCTATCATGTGGTAAACTTTAGAACTATTTCTATACAAGAATCTATTTCTCTTTGCTTCCTAGTACCCTTTAGTCCCAATTCAGGGTGACTTTAGAGTTGGATTTGACTCTCCTCCCGTAAATCCAAGCATGTTGTTAAAACAAAATTCAGAGTTTCTGTATTATATCAAGAAGCCAATTGGTGTAAGACCGAAAAAGAAAAAATCAAGGGACTGCCATTTGTCTATTCTTTCTCTGAAAGTCTAAGTTCCCTCATAATTATTATCTTCCCTATTATTGCCTTCCTGATATGCATACCTATAAAAGTTGAAATTTTTGTGCTGATATTAATGTTTAAGTTCCCCCACAGCAAACAAAGAATTTCCTAACAGCAATCTCTGAACTCTCTGGAACGAAAATGGGGCCCCACCTCATCAATTCCACTGAATCCAACTTGATGCATTTGTTCTGACAATCACCACTCTAAAACTGGTTTGGGACTACATCACTCTAGACAACTCCAGAACAGTTAGCTGAGATAGTGCATGTTCTAATTACACTCTGGACAGAGGTTCAGATAAGAACTTCAACCAAAACAAGGACTTCAATCAAGATAAGAACTTCTATCAATTACTTCAATCAAGCATCTCCCACCAAACAGAGAGTGGGTACAAGTGTTGAAGCTAGTTCACTTGAGACTTTTGCTACTCTAACATTTTCTTCCTATGGGACCCCATGAGGTTATCGTCATTCCATTTCAGTAGGAAGTAACTCTGAGAATACTATGTCCCCTTTCCCCACTATTGACACTAAGAAAAATGTATGCCTGGTTACAGTTAGTTTTCTATTGTTTACGGTTGCGTTTGGAAGAAGGTGTTCAGGCTTGGACATCTCTTTCAGATGGCTTTAGAGTTTAGATGGGAAAGTTATGGTTAGGATGAGATATAAGTAAATTATATCTTCTTGTGATTCACCTTAGTGATTATTAATTATAGACAACTTACACTGTTATAGATCCTTGTATATTGTAACTTAGGTATAATTTGTATATCACAAGTTGTCTTACTGTGTAAAGTCTTCTCTCCACTTACGGTGATGTATGCTCTTACATATGTTAAGACATTTTGTCACAATTTAGTTTTCTTTCAAGTTTAAACCTTCTTTTAGACTAAAAGGGGAATTGTAGGGAGAGACCCTGGATGCCTATACCACTGACTACACCCTTTGGCCGTGGTCACAGGTACATAGAGAGGTAGGATAAAAAGCAAGGAGGAGAGGCCCTCACTCTTTCTTGGGGTTCATCCCAGGTCTCGTAGGCATCTGGGACTGGGCTTCTCAGAGTGCCAATCTGGTTATCAGCTCCCCATGTGAGTATTCCTTCTTAATAAATATACATGCTAATAACCTATCCCATGTTCTATCCTGTTCCTTTTCAGTTTCCCACTTTACTACATAGATTATGTCAATGAAATTTGATGGAATTTATAGATGCCACACTCATATTCTTGAGCCATTGGTTTGTATTTTTAACCTTGATATTAACTGCTAATGTATGGACACTGACTTTCAAGCCCAATAAGGTGGTGTCTCTTTGATAATTTAATAATTAATGGAAACACTGGCTATTAAAGTAGGTCATGTATTTTAAAAACAAAGCATAGGGCTATGGCATCAAAATAACAGAACCCTGTTTTTTTTATTTTAGTTTTTTTCTTTTCTTTGGTTTTTCGAGAGAGGGTCTGTCAGTGGCTTTGGAGCCTATCCTGGAACTAGCTCTTGTAGACCAGCCTGGTCTCAACAGAAGCCTGTTTTTTATGTATTCCTTCCCAGGAACTCTCAGACTACTTCATAAGTGAGCTGAGAACTTTCAGCCCTGCACCACATAATTTACCAGCTCCTGGCAAAACCGCAATGAACGCATTGCCAACTGTGTCAAGGATGTGTGAAAACAGCGAGGGTTTCCCTCTAGTTCTCGCCATCTCTTCTCTCAGTTGACTTATTTCATTCTGTAACATTTCTGATTTCTTTCTGAATCCTTCAACAAGCAGTTCTTCTTGAATCTGTAAGGAGAAAGATCTTTTATTATTGTCAGATAGCATTTTGTATTTAACAACTTTAGCTTAAGTACACTATAACTTCACTACTGCCTAGGCAGGAGCTTAAATGTTTTATGAAGTATCCATGGCTTATACATAATTAAGGAGGTTTACTCAGCATCTTCCCAGGGAGAGTGAAGAGCTTTGGCCCAATACACACACTCAAAAACAAACAACAACAAAAATGCCCTCTAGGAGAGATTGCAGAAGGCAGGTGAATTGAACTGACTCTCAATTCAAAGGAAGTGTCTCTTTGATTATTTAACAAATTATAGGAGTGCTGACCTCATATAGTACACTGATTATTAACTCTAAGATGGGACAAATTATTTTATTCCCACTTACATGATGAATTAAACAGGCACAGGAATAAATAGAACAATTTATGAGATTGTGCCATACTTCATTTTATTGTACCATTTTATTTTATTTTTCAATTAATTAATTAATATCTCTTTGTGCATGCCTGTGTGAGGATGTGTGTAAGTGCATGCACATTTTTGTGTTTGTACATGTCTAGGGAGAACAGGGATTGATGTCACGTATCTTTTTAATTAATATCTCTTTGTGCATGCCTGTGTGTAAGTGCATGCACATTTTTGTGTTTGTACATGTCTAGGGAGAACAGGGATTGATGTCACGTATCTTCTTCAATTGCTTTCTCCTTATTTTTTTATGTATTTTTACTTTACATGTTTGAGTATTTTGCTTACCTGTGCATGCCCATGACTGTGCCTGGTGCTCAGGATATCAAAGGAGGATGTCAGATGCCCTGAAATTCTGGTTCTGGACAATGTAAGGTGCCATGTACTTGATGGGAACTAAACCTGGGTCCTCAGCAGCTGAGGTCCTCTACAGCCCCATTTTAAAGATCAGGTCTCTCCTCAATTTTATAACTAGCTCACTCTACTATGATGGCTAGCTAGAGAACCCCAGGAGTCCTCCTGTCTTTTCCCCAAATCCTCAAAGGTCACTGGTACATGTCATTTCTTCCCAATTTTTTCATGGGTTTTGGAGATCTGAATTTGTTCCTCACCCACACACAATGAGAACTTTACTGACTGAACCACCCACCAACTCCATCCTCCTCCTCTGTTTTATCCTGGGCTAAATCTGAGGCATTCATACTAGATATGTCAACCTCATGTCTCTTTGAAGATTAAGCCTAGAATCTGAAAGATTAATGGGAAGGGTCAACCAATGAAAAGACCATTCTAGAAACTCAACAAATTGCAACTCAGAACCCTGGGGACATTATTTGTGCACTCAAAAGTCTAACCCTGGGAGGAGGGATGGGGGTGAGGGGAGGGAGAGGGAGAAGGGACTTACATGTGAAACAAGCTTGTTCCCTAACTAGAACTAATAAATAAATTAAAAAAAAAAGTCTAACCCTACCCAGATGCTGGGATCTTGGGTGCTCACAGATTCAGCAAGACCCATGTGAACTTTGATGAAACAATCCCAGTTGAAGTTACATGTTTGAGATTGACAGTGCCCTTCTTGGGGAGTCACAGCACCGTCTGTCCAGCACTAACAAGCTCCATCCACACTCACCTTCAGCTTGTGCTCCAGCATCTTCTCCTGCTCTCTCAGAAGTGTCTCCCTTTCCCTCTCCATCTTCTCCTGAAGTTTAGCAATGTTTTCTCGGAAGCTTCTCTCTTGAGCTTCCATCACTTGCTCTTGCTCCTTCTGTTTCTGTCTCAGCAGCTCTCGTTCCTTCTCAGCCACCTCCTTCTTTGTCTGCTCAGCTATTCCGAGGATATTTGAGAGAGGGAAGAAATCACAGTCAGAATGTAGCTGTACTCTCCTGGGATCATAGGGAATCCTCTGAGTATGTCCACAACCCAGGCCAGTAGCATCATGGTTCCTAACACAACAGAAAGGTACTGATTGACTGGACATACAACACAACTCCACACCCCTTGCTATTTGCACATATAGGAGAGGTCATGATCCCCAGCAGGAGGAAGCTCCTTGTTCCAGAATGAACTACCTATGCATCAGCCAGAGGGCTTTGAAGAATGTACTCACCTGTAACAAGAGGGTTTGCTTTCTAGCCTGGTCCCACCACCACATTGCACCAAATAAACACACAGACACTATATTAATTATAAATCTGTTGGCTGGTGGCTTGGGCTTCTTATTGGCCAGCTCTATCTTAATTATTAACCCATTTCTATTAATATATTTCCATGTGGTCTTCTCTTACCGGAGAAGGGTCTAAATCTGTTACTCTTCTCGCAGCAACATGGGGATGGCTTTGGCAGGCCAGCTTTGCCTACCTTTTCCAGAATTCTCATCCTAGTGCCGGCTATCTTTCTGCCTCATTGGCCACAGTAAAAGAAACATATATACAAGAGGACTTCTCCTATCTCCCACCCCTCTGACAGTTGCACCCTCTACCTTACCTGCTATGGCCCTCTGTCCATCTGTCAGGGCTTTGTCTGACTGCAGGATGGACTTCTCTACAGTAGCCTGTGACTTTAAGAAGCTCTTCAGAATCTCTTTTGCCTAGGGACCCAAGAAGAAAAAATATAATTCAGGCAGTAAAGATTTAGTCTTCTGCTGAGGTATTTATTGGTTAATAAAACTTCTAATTTTTTGAGTCCTGTTCCACAGTGTCTCTTTAATTACATGACCATAACAAAACTTTTTGATAGCTTCACAGCCTCCCTTCCCAGTAATATTGCCTACAGGCTGCCCCAGGCTACAGCTCCAGAAACAGTTATGTGCAATTCCACAGACACATAGCTTTCATTGATTACCATGTTTAAATATATTTTGTTTCCTACCTTCATGGGTGTTCCAGACTTTATAGCTAAGACAACATATACAGACATGTCACTTTGTATCTCAGATGGCTTCTATGGCTGCTTTCTTAGTTTTCTTTTATATAGCTTTATTGTGGTATTATGAACAAATGAAAATTGTACCTGTTTAAGACATTTAATGTTTTGTTCTATTCCACATTGTTAAGTAATTAATATAGTCAAAGAAGTTTATGTATCAGTTGCCTCAAATAGTTACCTTTGTGTTATAATAGCACTTGAGGCCTACTCTTTTCTAGCTTTCAGGTGGATTATTCTGTGTGTAGTCACCATTTGACTTTAAAATTAATATCTTATACCTATAGTTCATATCTCCTGACCACTGTCTCCCTTTTCTGTCTATTCACAGTCACAGCAATCACCATTGTACTATATGCTAATCTGATGGTGTAAATGAGAATGGGCTCTATGAGCTCATATGGTTAAATGTTGCTCCTCAGTTGATAGAACTGTTTAGGAATGATTAGAGGTATGGCCTGTTGGACAAAATGTATCACTGTGGATGGACTTGGAGATTTCAAAAGTCCATACCAGTCCCAGGCTCTTTCTCTGCCTGCTCCCTGTGCATAGGATGTGAAGCTCTCAGATATTACTCTAGTGCTATGCCTGTCTGATTCCCACCATGATGACTAGAACCTACCCTTCCAAAACTGTAAGCAAGCCCCAAGCAAATATTTACTTCTATAAGACTTCCCTAGGTCATAGTGTCTCTTCTTAGCAATAGAACAGTAATAACACAGTTAATATTAGCTTATCTTTATTTGTGGTTCTCTCTTTCTCCATGGTGCCACTGAAAGTGATCCACAGCATGTAGTGTTTATATTCCTATGATTGGCTTATCTCCAAAAATATAATGTTTTTCAGATTTCAAAATTGGCAGCATTTTTAAGGCTGGATAATCATTTCTCATAGTGATATGAAATAGATGGCAGATTGATTAGATAGATAGATAGATAGATAGATAGATAGATAGATAGACAGACAGATAGATAGATGATAGGTATTAGAGCATAGATAGATAAATATTAGATAGTTGGATGGATAGATAGATAATACATATGATAGATGATAGATAAACAGATATGATATGATAGGTAGATAAAATAATTAATATAGATTAATTAGAAAAAAATCCAGAATGGTCCTGGCATAAAAAGAGATATACAGGCCAATAGAAGAGAACTAAGAACCAAGACATAATGAAATTTCATTTCTGTATCACACTTTCCACATAAACAAACTAAAAATGGATTAAACCTAAGACCTGGCACTTCTCAAAACAGGGGATGGAGGGAAATTTCTTAAAACAAAATTTGGGAGAAAAGCCATATAGCATTGGCTTTGTGATGGTGTTTTATATTTAACACCAAAAACATAGGTAAAAAAGATAAGGGAGACTATAGACAAGCATAAAATTTCTATACAGTAAAGGAAGCATTTGATAAAATGAAAGGGAATATATAGAATGAGAGAAAATGTTTGCAAGCCATATACTGATAAGAAGTTAAAATATGGAGACAATGAAAAATTTACACAATACAGTAGGAAAACTAGCATGCTTAGAGGAACATTCAATTTTGTCTTTCAAAATAGGACATTAAAATGGCCAATGGGTACTCTTACTCAGCATTGCTAGTCCTTCATGAAATAGCAAACCAAATGAGGTGTCATCTCAATCTTGTGGCCATGCTTATTATAATACATATTTTGTTTGAGTTGCCAAAAACCTTTGTAGATCTCTCAGTGAAATGGAAACTGGTTGCAGTCATTATGCACAACAGCATAAAGATTCCTCAAAAGAAAGAATTCTGAAATTATACTGGCTGACCTACCAATTCTGCTGGTGTTATGGTCCTAGGCAATGTGTTAGGGCATGCATGCATTACACTTGCCCAGTGCATGAGGGTGGAAAGTACTATTCAGTTTAGATATCCTGAAGAATAAACTGGCAATCCAGCCAAGTCACCATGAATTGCCTCTGGTGCCAGAACTGAATGCTCAATGTCTGCCAATCGTGAACTCATCTTCACCTTGATTAGTTCTCCCAGTACCTAGTGGTTACCACTCTAGCTGTGCTCTAGCTATATGACCACACACGCCATCATTCCTCACCTTAACTCCCTTCCTGGGCACTTGCTCATAGCCCTGCTCAACCTTCTTCTTGGCTTCTAAATAAAGGCTGTGCCCACCAGGAACAGAGAAAACTCCACTTGAGACACTCTCCTTCAGGGGTTCTGTAAGCTTCTCCAGCTCAGCCTGGCAGTAACTGACAGATGCTGCTTCGTTCTGTAGCATGAAAGCTTGCTTCCTTTCTTCAATGGCAACCTGCAGGGTAAGTAGGGAAAGACATAACAATAAGGTGTAGTGGTTTAAAAGAAAGCAGCCCCCATAGGGAGTGGCACTATTATGAAGTGTGGTTTGTTGGAATAGGAACTTATTGGAGGAAGTGTGTCACTGTGGAGGTGGGCTTTGAGGTCTTCTATGCTCAAGGTACTCCCAGTATCACATTTCACTTCCTGTTTCCAGAAGATCAGATGTAGAACTCTCAGCTCCTTCTCCTGCACCGTGTCTACCTACGTGCTGCCCTGCTTCTCACCATGATGGTAATGGACTAAACCACTGAAACTGTAGGAAATATTCATTTCAATGAAGAGTTTCTGGGTACACCAATAGAAACCCTAAAGATGGCAGGAGAAGGTAGTATGATTGTCCTGAATGAAGCAATGAGACAGCCCCAGAGTGGACTGGGAAAGCAGAAGGTAGTATGATTGTCCTGAATGAAACAATGAGACAGGCCCAGAGTGGACTGGGAAAGGAAGAGGATCAGGAGTCCCAATCTGATTAATTATGGGTGACTTCCTGAAAGTCTGTCAACTTGTTGGGTTCATACCCAAGAGCTGTTAAATCAAGTTGGAAGACATAATTCCATTTCCTCTGACAATGGAGGTGATGTGGCTAACAAACCAACTCTTCAGAACTGAGATGAGTGTACTCTCAGGAGAGTTTTGAACTCCCATGAATTCTCCCAATGATAACTTAAGTGTCCAGATGCTAGAACATGTGTTTGTTTCTTTATGTGTTTGTTTATGCTCATAAGTGATAATCTAATGAATTTCCTCGATATGAACTAAGAGATTTTTGTCCTTCAGGGTTCAAGTTCAGATAAACAAAATACCAAAAACTCTCAGGGAAGCTGCCTTTGGTCTGGTAGGTCACCCTAATGCCCTTGAAGTTGTTTCTTGGTGTCAATGCTTTCAACACCCTGGTCTAGTAAACATGGTGGATACTAATCCTGTGGTGACATTATATTACATAACACAAAATGACCTAGCCACCCAAGTCCTTCCAAATGTAAGTTTTATCTGGCTGTGGCAGGAAGATAGATCAGAATGTCTAGAAAAAAATAGAAGAACCCAATGGTTCCTTGGGTGCTGGTAAGTAGAGAGCTGCCTCCCCCCCCCCCCCGCCCCCCGCCATGGGGGGAGTATACAGATCAGGGCTAAGTCAATCTGACACATTTTCTGGTTGCTGTGCATACAGCAGAGATCAACACACTCTTGCTTCACCTCTCTCTTGAACTGTGAGCTAATAAAACGCATACTTTTTCAAGGTACTAAGCACATGTAGCTTGTTTCATAGCAGTAAAAAAAATGAAAGGCTATTGTTTCAAGAGAGGGAAAATTCTAGTTCAAAAAGTCAAGTGACTCATAAGCATTCCAATGAGAAAGGTTCAGACCTTGAGACAAAAATCAGAGTCTAAGAGTTTTATCTGAAGGGCAAAGATGAAGCAAGGTAAGTGCTAGGGAGGATTACCACCAGCTTCCTCTGGAACTCTTGCTCATCATCCTTGAAGGAATGCTCCATGAAGACAGCCACGGCTTCCTTCTCACATTCTGCATGTACAATCAGCAGCTCGTGTAGTGTGTCTGTTGGGAGCCTCAGTTGCAGGGTCATCTGCTGACTGTAGTGGTCAGCTGCCTTCTCTACAGCTGCTGAGTTCTCACGCTGGGCCAGGCTCATCACTGCATTCTCCAAACAAGGCACAGTCCCACTATGGATGGCATCCAAGTAGGTCTTCACCAGAGTCCCCAGTCCTGAGATAAAGATCATTAAGAATTGGAAAGTTCTCACAAATTGTTTGTATAAGCTTTAGACCTAGCATTTTCAAAAGCAACTAAATTCTATTTGTCTTGAATTTCTCTTCACTTCTTCCTTCTCCCCTATCTTCTGTTCTCTTTTCATGTCCTCTCAGAATCAATCTCTATTTAATAAAATCAGCTTTTTTCCTTTGTAGTTTTCAAATTCAATACACTAAACATAATCAGTGTTTATAACCAAGAGGTTTCAAGGCTTCTTAGAGAAAAAAGTTACTCCACCATATAAATAAAATAAAAGCTTGTTGGAAGGAGAAAGTAAATTACATCATTTGTGAGACTGAGTTCCAAATAAAAATTCAAATCCTATCGGGGAAAAAAATCAGAAATTTGAAGATAGAATACAGAACTTGGAACCAAGTATGGACCCATTTCATGGGATGCAAAGCATGGTTACATAGGCAGAATGTCTATGAAACTTGACATGTTTAAACTCATTTCTCAAATTGCATGGGATTCTTGCAATTTCAGAACACCTGCTGTGTTCTGAAAGATGTCAGCCCATAAATAATCTGTATAGTCAAATAGAGACACTGTTCCTGGGGGACTCGAAGTCACCTTGCAGATTTCTGTCTAGTTACCTGCACATCTTTATGGTAATAGTTATGTGAGATCTGCTGGAGCTCAATAAGCACTCATATACAGAAAGTCCAAGTAAGGAACACATAGTTGAGATCCAAACATGTGTTGTTCCATATTCATTTTCACAAGCAAGCAAATTTTCAAGACCATAAAAGAATCATCACTTCATCACATATTCTAAGCCACAGAGACACACTTGTGACAAAAGAAACTCACGATTTCCTGTGACAGTGATTCCACCTCTCAGGGTCTTTGTCTTTGCATTGGTGAAGATGTAGGAAGAGAAGTTTTTTGATTCAACCAGAAAATTCCATTCCAGTTGGCTTTCTGGAACTTTTTCAATTTGCAATAATAAACTTTTGTCACTTGTAGGCCAATCAAAGACAAAACACTTCCGTACTGGAAAGAAATATCTGATACATTCTCTCGTCATGTTGGATTTTTGGATGTTGGGACTAATTCCTGAGAGAGAGAGAGCACTCAATGAAAGAGAGCTGGAAGATAAAGCAATTAACAACTTTCCAAGAATCTTTTCAAGGCTGTAGCTCCAGTTCATCTGAATGGCTGTACCAATAACTGTAAAGTAAGGAGTGAGTTTGGAGACCTCACTACTTAGTGACTATATGGGACTAGACGTTATTTTGCACAGACTTGTGACATAAACTAGATATTTTAAAAAAATATTTGTCTAAATAATAGATAAATGAATAAAAACTATTGATTCTAGGTACTTATCTATCCCACTAAACATAATTCATGTAATGGATTTGTAATGTTAGCATTCCGCCAGATTGCATAAGGCTAGAGGGTGAGATTCTGGTGAAAATGAAATATTGTCCATTAGTAGAGACATGCATCTACATCATCCATTGCCATCCACTGCAAGATAATTAGTTTATACACATCCATCAACTGGGAGATGTAACTATTTCAGTTAGTAAAACATTTGAGTAGAAAATGTTTTTAAAATTAGGTCAGTAGATTTCCTTGTGATTTTAGGTTTTCTCACTTATTTATCTGATGAACCACTTTTCTCGAAATAGACTATGAAAAACATATATATTAACAAGTAAATAAGGCTTGATTATAATCCTTACCTATCTACTAAAGGGTATAAAATTATTTGATATGGTTCTCCACCGGCCTGACCCCTACCGAGGTGAGTGTACGCAATGCTCCTGCCCTACTCTGCCCAAGGTCCCATTCACCCTGGATCTCTCTGGGCCTATGCCTGCTTAGAATGGACCCACCCAGGCAGGGAGAAGCTCCCTGACTCTTCCTTCCCCCTCCACCGACAACCTGACCCCTACCAAGTGAGGAGATTACCAGGAGAGGCAAGACTATCCAGAGCTGCAGACATTGAAGTCTTGGCCCACACACACCAACGGGTGACAAAAGAAGATAGAGAGACCCCCAACTGCACCCACTGAAAGAAGAGATGAGAAGAAGACAGAATAAGAACACACTCAACAACAGAAAGACCAATATGACACCACCAGAATCTAGGGACTCCACACCAGCAAGATCTGAAAAGCCCAACACAGAGGATGAAAAAGAAAGAAAGCTCAAAAATTATCTTATGAAGATGATAGAGACCTTTAAAGAGGAAACAAGAAAATCTCTTAAAGAAATAAAAGAAAAAAAACAAGCAAAAAAATTACATGAAATGGAGGAAAAAACAAACCATAAAATTCAAGAAATAAACAAATCGCTTAAAGAATATAAACAAAGCCAAAAAAACAACCAAACAAGTGAAGGAAGCACTCGAAACAGTTCAAGGCATGAAAGCTGAAATAGAAACAATAAAGAAAACACAGAATGAGGGGATGCTGGAAATAGAAAGGTTGGATAAACGATCAGGAACTAAAGATGTGAGTGCAACAAATAGAATTCAAGATATGAGCCAGGTGTTGGTGGCACACACCTTTAATCCCAGCACTTGGGAGGCAGAGGCAGGCGGATCTCTTTAAGTTCAATGCCAGCCTGGTCCACTATTTCCATATCTCTTCAATATTGTACTTGTGGTTCTTGCTAGAGCAATAAGACTACAAAAGGAGATCAAAGGGATACAAATTGGAAAGGAAGAAGTCAAACATTCACTATTTGCAGATGATATGATCGTCTACATAAGCAACCCAAAAAACTCTACCAGGGAACTCCTACAGCTGATAAACACCTTCAGCAAA